GTCAGTGCCAGAACTGCCTGGGACCCAATTCGCAGCAAGTCCGGCGCTGCTGTTTCTCGCATTTTACGCATTGTTTGAGCGGCTAATATCTGAAACAAGGTTTAAAATTGGGATTTCGATGGGGAAGAATTTTGAATTGGAATTCTAGTGAAAAGTGCGCGGTTGGTTTTGTGTAAGTACTAACAGATGCATTATTCACTGTGGTTTAAAAATGCGTCGTGGCAGGTGTCATTAAAAGTGGTGAAATTATGCGTTTTGGCATATATGGGAATGCGAAACTCGCACATCGTGATAGCACATTGTGTATATGTGCGTATGTTCATACGTGCGTGTGTGTGTGTGACAATCCGGGTATTTCAACTGAACAACGAAGCACCCTCTTGCGCTAAATTTTCGCCAGTGGGTTTCCCAGTTAAGCGGCATTACAATTTGTGCAGGTGCCACATCTTTGCGTTTTGCCCTTTCCTTTATCACAAAAATTTTTCTTAGTTCTCATCATCTGCATTCGCTGCTTTATGTAAATTTTTAATTTTTTTTATCACAAGACTGACTGCATTAGCAATTAGGATGCAGCTACGATTACTCACCATGTTTTCGTCGGTTATCTGAATGTTTCTCCCTTTTTTTTCGTTAACAGCCGTGGAGATTGGCTGCATGGCTGGTTTATTCATCATTGAACCACGAACGAGGACGGGAGCTGTGCTCCTCTTCCTCTAACCCCCTTTTTCTTTGTTTTTTTTTGTAATGCTCCTTGGTTTTTGAAACTTGGTAAGTTGGCCCAATGTTGGGTACAGTTCTTTTTGCATTCCCCCTTCTTTTTTTTTAGGCATACTAAATTGACTGCATTAAAGATGCAATCAAAAGAAAGGAGAGGATAGGAAACTTACCCTTTTGCGTCAAAATCGAGTTCATACAATCTTTGCTGCTTGTCTGGGCCGAAGATTATAACTATGTTTAGACTGGCCAGCATCTCGTTTATTATTTTCTTTGTCCGAAAATTTGTTTTCCTTTAAAGTTTGGGAGGAATAGCCAAGGAGATTTGTGACCTCTTGCGCACCCACATCTTGTAAAAGTTCCCTATCTTGATCGGACAACTCAGGAGGAAAACAAGCTGGGCCTTCCATGGAATAATGCCTCTTAATCTGACTGAGATGCACCACAAAGGGTCCAGCCCTTGGCGAAGAGCAACTGACTATGGTGGCCGTAGGCTCCTCAATATCTATGACCCAGTACATCCCAGTCCACAGTGGATGGAATTTCTTCAAATTACCTGCCTTAGTTTGTTGCCTTAAAAGCAAGACTCGATCACCGACCCTAACATTTGACCCGTTCGTATAACTGTCGTAATTTTCCTTCATTCGCTCTTGGGCCTTAAGACTGTAATCGAAAGTCAAGCACCAAGCATTTTTAAGAACAAAAATCAACTGGGCGTTATAAATGTCCACATCTTGTTCTGAGTAATTAACCTTCGTGTCTACGTGAAGGATATCTTCGACGGAAAACTGCGGATCACAGCCAAACACAAGAAAATAAGGGCTCTCTCCTGTCATCTCGTTTACCGACGTATTGTAGAGTAAAAATTTTTATGAGATGGGGTTGTTTTACGTGTAAGGATCGCTGTGTGACGTGATGCGCAGACTGGAGGGCCAATTAGATAAATGAAAACTTTATGTCTTACCCACTGCAGCGTAGACAATAGCAATAATACACAGGACGTAATGTCTGGGCTCTGACGAACAGAGTGGCCTGCTGAGCAGGAGATCCGACAACGCGGTTCCGAGGCGGGATAATACTTTCGAGAAGAGGGGGCAGAGTTTCTGTCGTGTCCACAGATAGGGTCGGCGAGCGTGCCGGGGTTGATGAAGTCGTCGTTGGTCCCGGAAGACTGAAGCCGATACTGGTGAGAACTGAGACCAAGAAGAAAGGAGAAGAGGTTTATAAAGGGAGTTGGGGCCCGCTCCATGGGATGATGCAATAATTTGGAAGAAATTTAGGAATTTGGGGAAGTGGGAGATAAAAGGGGATGATAAAGGAAAACGGAATAGGAGTAGGGGGCCAAAAGAAGATAAGAAAGATGATATGAAAATGAAATGGTTTTTGTAGGCATGAAAAAGGGGATAGGACAAAAATGAGAAAATTGTAAACACAGGAATGTGACTGGCATTCCTGAGTTATAGGGTAAAAAAAAAAAGGAAAAAAGGACATTATATAATTGTATAATTAGAACTGTACATATTTTATATCTTCCCTTTCCGGAGGAGACCGTTCCTGGTCTCACGAAATTAAATATATATGTGAATGTGAGCGAGCCAGGTAAATTATGGCCGTCATTGACAGAGTAAAGGAGGCACAAGGCCAACTTGCAAAGCAAGGATTGCATCCTTGCGCTTGCACGATGCAAGACTTGCGGGTTAATTGCGATGATGACGGATTGCAATATTATGAGTTGTTCTTGTATCAGCAAATTACAATATAAATTTATTTTGAAATGGTGGGAATGAGTTTATGGAAGAGGTATTTAAAAAAAGAAAGGAGGGAGGAAAATAAAAAAAAAGGGGGAAAAAGAGGAGGGGAAAAGAAGTAAAATGACCCTGTAAATAGGCAAGAGGAAGAACGGGGGG